TGTTAATCTTCTTTTTTTCTAGGACTGGTCTATACTTCTGGTTAGTCTTGACGGGGTTCTTATATTCTGAATCGTAATGTCCTTTCTTGCCGTAGTTCTAGCAAGTAATTTTAGATTTATCTTTCTTAGTTATTCTGATGGTTATTGGTCTAGAGTCGGTGCCATAAGAAGTATTGTTATTTCGTTTCTTTCCCTAGTTAGCGTCGTAGTATGGCTTATTTCCCTGGCATCCTTGGTTATTTTAGTTATAGCGGATTCTCTATTAGAATTACATATCGTCGACCTCAATGGCTCTGCCGATATAGTTGACCAGTGTCCTTAGTCTAGCTTCCTTATAGAGTTCTGCTTAAACTATTTCTTTAAGTCCGTTAAAAAAGAGCGATATAAGGGGTTCCTGGTCCTATCCTAGCTTAGTAGCTAATTAGAGAAATTTAGTTTTATACTCTAATGCAGATTTGGTTTATTAAAGTACTTTAATCTTTCTTTCTGCTTGGCTCTTTTTATTGACTAACCTAAATGCTTATTATATAGCTTTCTTAAATTTAGTGTAGTTATTATAAATTTAAAAAGTTCTAGGTGGCAGTTTGTCTTCTGGCGTAGTAGTGATTGCTTCTAATATAGGTTAAAACCATTAGGCGGCATTGCCTTTAAGACGTCCTAATGCATATATAACCCTATTACTATTATTGGCGAACTGGTTTAGAAAGTAACTTATATAGGCTTGGCATTAAGTAAGGAAGGTAGCCAGTCTGGCAGGGTTTCTATCAAATAATTTAGGTGCATTGGGTTTAAGAATTTCCCCTGACTCTTTCCCATTTACTGCAGTGGCAGTAAGTTAATGCATTTCCTAAATTACGTTTTAGTAGTTGGCGGCCTGCTGTGCCTGGAGCGCAGCGGCTTTAGCTAAGGCTTATCTAAGGTTATCTATTTCGGTTGTTATATTAGTTATCTGCTGACGGAGCTAGGTAATATTAGAGTCGGTGCTACTCTTAGAATTATTGTCCATATCCTAATTATTGTTAATAGGTGCTAGAGCAGCATGAGGTGCAGTATGTTACTGTGCAGGGTTAACGTGGGCAGCCATTGCATTTATATTACTTAGCGTTATGTAGTATGGTCTAAATAAGAGCTATTAATGTGTAACGGTTGGTTTCTAACTGTGGATAAACTAAGCCGTGCTAAGTTTATTGTTAGCAGATGGCGTAGGGCGTGATACTAAGCTTGTCGAAGTATCATGTCTCTTAATGGTAGATTTAATGCATATTAGGCTTAATTAATGTAAAGAAGTTTTATTAATAGCTGGTAAGATAAGTTCTATAGAAGTGTAATAAATATAGTCTATATACTTAAGGTAGTCACGGAGTGACCTGCGCGGTCACTATGTAATTCCGAGAATCACTAGTGTTTTCAAAGTGACTGTCGTAACCGGATCTTGGCGGTCACGAATAGAATCTCTTAGTCTGTAATAACTATATGTAATTAGTGAAAAATGTGGGGTACACGTAACGTAACCGCTAGGATTGTAACACTACTGAAATACCTCGTTAATGCCTAGCAACTCCTGAAGAACTTTTATTAACTATAACAGAAGGATTAGAAAAAGGAATATCTGCAAAAATAGAATTCTAGTTAATTACGTCTATAGCACTGCAGGACTAAGCCTTAGATACCACGGATAACTCTGCCTAGTTAATAGAGAAACTACCTTACTCCTCTAAAGATTGCATTCTATGAGAAAATAACTTATTACCCTATTCCTTAAGATAATACTTCATCTTATAAATACAAGCTAAGTAAGCTATAGCCTCCTCGAGAGCCTCCTTAGCTTTTTGCTCATCCTCTTCTAACTTTTTATACTCTCTTATATTTTTTAAAATTATAAATATTAGTAGTTAACCAGAAATATGAAAAAACGCCGACCTACGAAAAGTTATAATACTAGAACCGTTATAAATTACCTTGGTATTTATGCAGTTCCTATAATAGTTTGATTTTTCGTCCTTAGCCTTATAAAGAAGACTACAACGGAAGCATTAGGAGCACGGCATAATATAGTTACTAAAGTTGTAAATATATTATGCAAGAGTACCAGATTTAGAAGTTTTTATATGTTTTTTCTTAGAAACTCGACCTAATATAATAATTAGTAAGATATACAGATAAAAACAAAATAAGTCTAAGTTAGTACTTATAGTTTAAACTAACGAGATAAAAGATAAGCATGGCCTTAAGGACAAGACCTAGAGGAGGGGAGAGATCATGTTATAACCCTCGCGGTTATATCACATATACCCTATAAATTCTCCATATTAAATACTAATTATAATAAGACCGAGAAGTCTCTTTTTCGGTCCTCTAACTTTAACTAATGATTTAAGGACCGAAATATTGCAATAACAGTCTAAGACCAATTAACTATATACTTAGTCTAAGAAGATAAGTACCACTAAGTATTAATAACGTAATAATATATAAACTATAATTACTACCTAGATAGATATAAGCTTATTAGCTATTAATAAAACTTCTTTATATTAATTAAGCCTAATATACATTAAATTTACCATTAAGAGACGTGACACTTCGATAACCGCTTAGCATCACGCCCTACGTAATCTGCCAACAATAAACCTAAGCATGGCTTAGTTTAACACAGTTGGACCCAACCGTCACATTGTATACCTTAATTTATTTATCTCCGTATCTAAGGATTAGGAGCCTCTTAAACTGGCTGCTTCCTTTAAGATGGCGGGTATTTCTTAGGTGTGTTATTAGGGAAGGTGACCTAACATGATAAGGAATTTGGGGTTTTATATCTCTTTTCGCATAGTATGTATAGTTCTGGTGTCTCAACTGATTGACGGGGGCACTTTGCAGAAATCTCTCTTATAAAGCTATCCCTTGAGTTAGTGGTCCTTGACCTACTTCGCTCCTTGCCTTCGGAGGACGGAGCTTGGAATGTGGTTCTAAAGCTCCTGTTCGCCACGCTCTCGGTAATTGGCTTGTTGCCTCTAAGAGCTTTAACCTCCTGTCGGAATCGGGCAGAGAAGGTGAGTAGGAGATAAGTTCCTTCCTCAATTGCTACCTTATTCTGATCTTGTTTAATCCGAAGGAAAATCTTAAAGTGTTATTCTAGGTTCTCTTGCAGGATCCTTAAATTAAGTATTTAGGTGTTATGCTTCTGCGACTCTTCTAAGTTTTGCAATTCATATTGCCTTTTCCTAAGAAGTGATCCATTCTTTACAGTTTTTTCTGCTGTTTGGTGCTGCCTTTAGCACCTCGAAATACCGTTTTTGAGCTTATTTCCTTCTTAGCGCGTCGTGAATGCCGTATGAGGCTTTAAGGTTGAGAAAGAATAGCAAAATATTGTCATGCTGTGTGGACTCGTTCATGGCAGGGGAATCAACGTAGTGTGGATTGATCTTCTCAATTATCGAGTTGAGCACATTGCGGATGCCATCGGCTTGCTTATTGTATCGGTCGAGGTCGCTTTTGTATATCGTCATGGAAGCCTTGTAATCCTCTTGATCCTCATGTATTAACTCAGTATAAGAAGTCGCTGGGTTATCAGATACGCTGATGGTCAAAGTGGCAGTTGAAGAGCGCGACTAAGGCTCATTTACCTCTTTCGCATGGTAGTCGCTGAATTTAGACCTCCTTGGCTCTTGGACGTGGAGGACTGCGAATTGGCTTAAATAGCCAAGTCTCCTGAGCTCGTGGATTGGTTCAGCAGAGATCTTTATAATATACGACTGCTCGAAAGAGTCCTAATCGTTAGGTTAGTTAAGGAGGTAGGTCTTTGTATTTATAACTAATAATATCTTAGTTAATCGTTAAGTGCTGCAATTGCAGTTATTATTTTATTAAATAGCAGTTTATTATTAGTAGTTATAGCTGTCTCTAAGAAGTGTAGCTCTGAGACTGTTAATTATTAAACCGACCATTAATTATTAAACCGTTTTTATTTTATTCGGTGATTTAATTACTTGTCTCTATGGCATTCTAAAATGCAGGGTCTTATCCCTAAAAGAGGGGTGATTATCATGCGACTCTTTGGGTTAAACGCGGCTCCTTTGGTAAAAATGCCCTTTTCACAGAAGTCCCCCTTTGCTTCGAAGGGCTCGAGATTATCTATTTTCTTAATGGACTCGCCTAATCGCAAGTCCACCGAGCACACGGTGTCTGAAGGCGATTCCGGCAAGCTGACCTGGTGCAAACAACCCATGAACAAGCTTGGGCGACCCACGGCAGTCCGACATCAGACATAACCCCGCTGAGCAGGAACGATTGTAATCTAGGCGATGGTCGCTTGTTTCAATATCGTATTAGTGAATATATACGCCAAGCGGCATGTCGTGCTGGTCCGGAGGGTGGTGTCGGCACAGATCAACAGGAGAGCACATGAGATGAATAATAATGCTTATGCTTAAGCTAAACGAGACAGGATAGGGGATTCTTTCTATATCATCCGTCATAAGAGTTCAGCTCTGACCCTCTGTCTACGTACACTAACAGGGGTCCAGGAACCCCAACGCATCATCCAAATACCTTGCTCCAATCCTCGTGCTCGGCGTACTCTTGGAAAGTCCGTGGTCGACGTGCCAGGAGCTTGGCGTGATTGTCATCCGCGTAGGCGGAGCCCCAGATCCTGTGGAACTTGAACATGTCAATCATGTCATCTACCACGTGAGGCGGTAGACCAGCACGCGCCAAGTCTGCCCTGACCTGCTCGTCCGTCACTTTGTTGTATCTTATATCCCTACCCGTCGTCTCGGACAAGACTTTCACCTGATCTTCAACAGTGACGATGTCGCCGTAGGCCCAGATGACCTTGCCCTCGCCCTTGTTGAACTCATCTGACTCAATCGCCAACCGGACAAACAAGCCAAAATCGTGGTATGTATCAAGAAGTGGCATTTTCATGTCCGCAGGCCACGTGCCATCAATGACGTAACTGCCGTCTCCGACGGGCCTCGGACGGCTGAATGTCGTAAAGTTGTTCATGTATCCAGCAGCGTGGATATCAACAAAGGGGACACCGATGGCTCGTGCATGATCCGAGATTGCCGCCTTGGAGTCGAAGTGGAACACATTCGTGAGCGTCCCATTTGAGACCTTGGTGGCGTTAGGTTCGGAAGAGATCAGGAGCAGTTTGACACCAGTCTTCCGGGCTGCCTCAACCATGGTCTTGCCCTCAGCGATTTCACGATCTTTATCTAGGTGCTCCCAAAAGTTGGTCATGATCTAGACATCGCTTGTCAGCGTATATCCTCTGCAATGCATCAGTACTCATGCAAGGAGGACGGAGCCTACGAAAATATATGTTGCACCCTGAAATGCCTGCTGGATATCTGCCACATTACCAGCGGACAGGTCAACATTAACGAGCTCGACACCTCGCTTCGCAAGAGCCTGAGCCTTTTCTTTCTTCGTATCTCGGGTAAGGCCACGGATGCGATATGGCTTTCTCGATGCCTCTAGGCTGTTGATGACGCTACCGCCCTGGAGGCCCGTTGAGCCGACGACAGCAATGAGAGGCGCAGTAGAATCAGAGGAGATGGTCATGATGTAGGGTGATATAGGTAGATGATAATGAGGAAATAATTCTAAACATAGGGATGTCTAATTACTGCAGTGCGTTTATAGACGGGTTATTCGGCACTTTATAAAGATTAATTCATACATAGTTGTTTCCTAGGTTAGGTCGCTCTGTACTTAGACTGTGTGACTGCAGCCTGTTCCTGAGGCCCGCGCGGGATTACAAAGCGGTGAGGAGGCATATAGGGGTAATTACCTTAAGGAAAAGAGTGTTGGCGGGGCAATCAGACACGGCATTTACAACTGCCGATGTTATGTTATCTGGAGGTCTGTAAATTATTAGTAAGTAGGACATTGGCGGGCGGGTAGCACGGAGGCATCGCGCGCGGCTGTCCTTATAGAGTTAAACTGCAGGCAGGGCATTCTAACTAAAGGAGCTGAATTTCCTAAAATGGAAGAGTTATATAATAGTTATCCTCTTTTAGAAGTAAGGCAGTGTATTTTAGAAATATATTATAAATAAGAAATTTAATTACTTAATTAAAGTTTTAATAATTATTATTTTAATTTATTTTTATTTTAAGTATATAATAAGGTTAATTTTTATAAATTAATAATAATAATAAGTTTATAAAAATAAAAAATTAATTATTAATTTATATTAGTTTTTTTTTTATTATTTATTATTTATTATTTATTATTATACTAAATATATATAAAGAAATTTAGTAAATTTAACTAAAACTATAATTCTGCCTAAACCAGAGACAGTAGCTAAATGGTAATCCTGACGAGTAGTGCTAATAAAGCCATGCGACCTGTTGCCCCTATGATGTATCTCTTGGGGCGCATTAGTCATGCCGCGCGGCATGACTACAGAGTTCGCTCACCGGTAATCCTGACCTATGCGGGATCTGATATCTCAGATATCTAATGAACAAAGCAAGACCGACCGCGCGGGTGTCGGTTTCGATTATAAACCGCGGCTGACAAATCCCGCGTATGATGTTACAGTATCTATAGGACCCCGTATCACACGTGGTCCTAGTCAGAACTCCCATAGATGCCGATGCTATAACATTGTTTCCTAAGGGGTTTCAGTAATCTCTAACATGAAGGCTACACTATATTCAATGCCGTAGCCCTCGGTTGTGTTCGGTATTACTTTATAGTAAGCACTTTTCCAGGAGGCGTAATATTCAGCGGCAGTTGATTTACCCACTCCACGGTACGTTTTGTTCTGTTTTACTCCCACCCAGGAAGTTAGATGTGGAATTGGTTGTTCCTTGTAGCCTTTTGAGTTATAACTTCAAATTTCACTTACGAGCTTGGAACAAACCATTTGCTTCAGGTCCACTATGAAGAAAGCCCAAAGTTTGTCTAAATCTAGCTGACCGAGCGGGGCTTGGCATTGTGAGACCTTCACCCGAGGAACTTCCATTGTCTGGCTTGTTCAACGTTGTATACAGACACACGTCGTAGATCGGCCACTTATCCTTCGTTCGTATGTACCTATGGATCCCATTCTATTGATTTCGTTCTACGAATATACCATGGTTCATTCCTAGTCGGCACATACGTAGACAGTTATGCTGGTTGCGATGACTGTGATAAGACGATACCCTTCCAATGATCACGTTCTGCCAACTACGAGCTCGCTTCACAGTAATACTATGCTGGTGACTTCCAGCACAAATAAGAGGCAAGGACTTCTTTTGCCTTCGAATATCGACTGGCGGAATAGGATAGTGTTGTCCACAAGAAATGCATGGTTTGGGCGCTTTGTGTCGGCGGTTGGTTTGGTGTTGTCCGATGGGCTCAGCGTTGTTTGACCCAAACGGATAGCATTCTTTAGTATCTTGGGCCTCATAAACACTGGGTTCTTCACATAACAGATCGAACTCAATTGTTAGAGAGTAGAGAGGTACGTTGATCTTGCTGAAGACTGGAGACTCAATGGTTGAGGATAAATCAGATGAAGCGGCATTGGCATTGGCTGGTGTACGGCCGGGAGGCTTCCGAATAAGATAGTCAAAAGGCGAGACAGTTGCCAAGGAGATTGGTGACATTGAGTGGCCGGCATAGAAGCTCAAGACATCGGAAAATGGAGGGCTCGTGAAGTACCAGTCATCCAGGAAGGTCTCGTCGTCCAGAACAACATCTGTCGGTTCATGTATGTCACTTGCGATCTGATGCTAATAGCATGGGTTCGACAAACCTGCTGCGTTCATCATATTGTCAAGTATCTGGCATGCTTATCGACCTTCTCTCGAGAATATACACTATGCCGTCTAGCTCTATACGAGTTGGTTTGCGAAATCCTGACATGATAATACTGGACGCCGCTAAATCGCGAGATACCGGTTTATGGAGGTAGCCCCGACATCGGGGCCTCACATCACACGGCCGAACTAGGTAATCAGACTTGTCAACCATCGTCGGGACTTCATCCGCGGCAGCTGAGTCGAAAAAAGTGTGGAGCTCATATGGCCCACTATCGTGAAGCTTGCGCCACGCTTTTGCGATGGTTGGGACTTGTGATCCCAGCTATCACTACTTTCGTCTCTTTAAGCGACTACTCCGACGCCCGCTCTTAGGCTTCAGTGACTCGTGTTAGTCGTGTTAATCAGGTCCCAAAGTCTCTGTTTCAACATTCTCACCGAGAACGCTGCCGTCATGGCTTGTGCCGAAGGTCGCACAGTGGATGGGCTCGAGACTCAGTTCGAAACCAATCACCTAGGCCATTTCTTATTATTCTATCTGCTCAAGTACGTTCTCGTTGATTCATCACCCTCTGTCTTTAACTCTCAGGTGTGACCGGCCGGCATATTAACAGATGCAAATGCAGCACATCCCGCCGCTTAGTAATCGGGCTAGAGCGGGCCGCCGGGATTTAATGTATATGCTAGTTGAACATATAGTTAGTTGTGTTGAGGGGGATGTGTGTGTATTGACTGTGACTAACTAAGGTCTCGGGCCGAGTGGTCCGGCTGATATACGAGGTAGGTGCCTTAGGCACCTTCAACAAGTTGCAAGCTTGCATCGCTCGGCTCGATCAAGCTAGCTTTAACCACCTAAGTCTCGATACGTAGAGATTATTGAACTTTCCGTGAACCCTTTCTCGATCTAGCATTAGCGGAGTAATGTGCCGTCTAAATCTCCGAGGACCATCCAATCAACGTTGCGCGAAATATGCTTGTCGCAATACTTGTATGGTGGAGCTCCAAAGATGGTATAGAAAATGAGACAGTTGAATTATCAGGCTTTGTGACCGTTCAACTTCTTTCTTGGCGATTCGACATTGACCAAATCACTTGCAAATCAAGTGTCCCTGAGTTTACCGCGATTGACCCGCGGTCACCTCTTCACATCAAGCAATCGAGCGGTAGTACACCACGTCCCGCTCAGTCGCCTATATCCAGCCTTCCACCCTCTACGTCCGTTGTTCCAGGCCGCCTATTATCGACTCGGCACGGATATCTGCTCGGCCCGTCCGCGCTCGGATAGTTGTCAACCCCGTGCCCACATCCGGTCCGAGAGTTAGCCCTCTATCGAGAGCGCGGCGTGACCGTGAGCATCGGTAGCAGGGACCCAAAATGATACCGCCTGACAAGGACCAGGAGGTCAGAGGAGTAATCGTACTATGAATAGCTTGACGGACGTTACCCACGAGGGTCACAGCAAGACACCTAAATATCGCAGTAATTTACGTATTTTAACACCACTCATATCCAAATTTTCAAACTAGGCAAAGGTTTCGGCGTATCCGCGGGATCCCTGCCAGGTAAACGATCCCTTGAGGAAACAAAGATGTCAAGTGGGAAGCCTCGGCAACCTAGCACTCTTTTGTGTCTTGCCTTCTTAACAGTCTCTAGCATTTAAATTAGCTTAGCCAGAGCCAGGGTTTGTTAGCCAGAAGAGCTTAGTACCTCTAACATGTCTAGTGCAATCTGGACATTCCCTGACATCCTGCAAGGAGACCTAATGCAGCAAGATGTAAGAATATTAAGGTTTAATAGGGTTACTACTAGGCCATCTTCTTATAAAGCTATTATTCTAAGAGAAAGATAGTTAGCGACTTTAGGGTATGTTTTTATTATCTTATACTATAAGAAATCTATATTTATTAAGGTAAGGAGTTAAATAATAATTAGTACTTAATAAAGGGCACTGGCTATTAGTTTTATTATAACGGTTGCACAAGCCGTTAAACCACAGGGCAAAAGATCGGGCCATAATCGCTATGTAAGCAATTATGGGTGTGCTATAGCTGCCTTATAAAAGCCTTACAGCGCTGTTATAGGCACAAATCGTAACAATTAAGGTCATTGTATTTTTTAGTATAGTATATAACGCCTTATATTATATTATATTATATTAAAAATAAATACCTTATTTTATTATCTTACTTTAACGCCTTTGGCTTTACTTTATATATTACTAAATAAGTATTTTAACTTTTAAATCTTAAAAGGCAAATTAAAGGATATATAAATAACTCCTTAAAGCTAATTATAAAGGCTTTAAAGTCTCTTATAAAGGCAGTAATTAGAATATATTATAAGATTAT